TAGGGAGTTTTTGCAATACCGTCTTTCGTATCTGAATTGTTCAGATACAGAGTGAATGTATCTGAACAATTCAGATAACGTTTACCGTATTTGAAAGACGGTATTGCAAAAACTCCCTAATAACTATAATTGAGTCGGTTAGAACAGAAAGGGTACATGTGACAAAATCATGTGTATTTGAGAAAAACAAAAAACTATTTTATGAGCAATGTAAATTTTTCACAGTAAATTTTAGATGCTACTTTGCCCCCATAAAGTATAAGTTTTCATTTTGAAAGTTATATTTAAACATTTTGCCTGTCTATATATATATGTAGAGCAAGGATCTATTCATTCAATTTCGGTCAAAATGTCACATGTCCCCTTTCTCTGTTCTCACCGGTTCAATTGTTCCAGTTGCGCGAAAATTGTTTACAATTTCTTTTCATACCGTGTTTGCTCGAATAAATAAAACGACCGGCCACATAAAAGCTGAATAATATGGAATAATCAATACTAATTAATTCAGCGCGCGTGGTAGCGCGGAATTGGGCGGATTTATTTTGTAATTATACTGTAAAAGGCATATGTCTCTAGCATTTTCTATTAACACGAAAATCGGAGGAACGTAAAGCGTTTATTTCGGCCTTTCTATTTTTAACGTACCTCCGTGGCTATAAATTGTAAATTAAAATCCTATTGAAGTCCGTCTTAATTTAACCGAAGACAGTTTTGCATGCTTGTTATTAATCTAATTTAAATAAATATGATATCATAACTTAAATAATAATAACAATAATTTCGCAATGTTATCACTGAATCTTTCGAGTACAATTCGCGAAAAATTACTTGTTAGAAGCTATTAATATCCCAGCACTCTTTTATCCCGAAAGAAAGTGAACACGACAAAAAATCTATACTTAAGAAAAACGTTCGGAAAGTTCGAAAGAGACGCTCGTGTTTGTATATATTTTTTCTTCTCGTAATCCACTATCTTACTTCTAAGTAATTGCAATGTCAGAGTACCTACTCCGTGCCATCTGATAGATCGCGATTGATTCTTCCTTGACAATTAGATTACCGTGTCACATACTGCAGGTAATACACATTCCCTATTCCCTACAATTTCTATACATACCTATATCTTGATGCTTCCTCGTGTGTCGCGGCTATAAAACACGCGCCCGCTCGGTCGAGGACGCGAAATTACGCTGTCAGGACGAATAAAATCCGGCGCGTGTGATCGAACACCTTTAGACGTGGATATTTTCGGATGACCCACTTCGTTCTATCCATCCATAAAGGCGATAATTATCGACGATACTAGGAATAGCGGCGACGAGAATGGCGTGACAGACACCGTGTCCGTTATTCTTTCGCTCATGGTGTCAAATAATCCCGCGACATGGGAAGTATGTCGCGGTATTGTTGTCGAGACAACAAAATGCTATCGATTCACTATCTTTCGGTTGTGTCGAGCAATTAATTTGAATACTAATTTACATAAAGTTTTTCGTCTCTTTTTCAACAAGTGTTTCCATTGAATTAAATTCTTCTCTCCGTGATATAATTGAATTTGAATTTATTATAAAATAAGTGTCTTTTTCATTATTCGTTATTGAATAGAAGAAAGGAAAATTAAATTGAGCAGTTATTTGACAGAAAAAAGATTAAATTAAGCACATTTTGCATTTTGCATATTTTAGATATCTTGAACATTTTTAGGATCTACAGATGAACCGTAAATTTTGAATTTTTCCATTATTTTATAATACCGAATTTCTCATATGGACGATTTTTAAACAATCTAAACGAAGAAAATATTCGATTTTACGTTAATATCGTAATTAACCACAAGCACCATTCGCGAAATATTCACAAAAAATGGACGTGCATAGCGTCATCAATTTTTCCAACTCTCTACCGCACATTTTTGCCTTGATTAATTTTTCCTAAAGCCGGATTCGCGGGTGAGAATCGAAGTCAAAACTGGGTCAACCTTTTATTGCATCCCAGGGCCGTACACTGATAAACGTCAAACGGAACGGCGAGTAATGCCGCTTCCTGTCGTCCTTCCTAGTACAAGAATTCCGCGCCTGAACTTGAACTACTTTCAGACTAATATCGTTCCGCGTCTTTCATCTAAATGCATAATAGATGTTTTCATTTCAGCGTGAAGAAAGAACCTACAGACGAGCCCAGCAGCCCTTTGGAGGCTACCAGTCCCGGTTCCATCCTACGCAACAACAACGGTGAGTTTCTAATAAGAATAATTATGAAAGATCTACGTGAAACGTTCGATGCCATGGTGGTTTAATTTCTAGAAAAATAACTACAAAAATAGAAAAATAAAATGAGCCTCGTAGCAATAATTTCTTATATAAAAAATCATATAAATAAAACAATATTTCCTACATGCTATTTTTTTTTAAT